CCCCGCGTGCCGGCCGCCAGATGCTGCCGGTGACCCGAGCGTCAGCAAGGAGGCGGCGGCCCCGAAGCCCGATAATCACAAGCGGGTGGGTGGCGCCGGCCAGTGGGACGTCCGCAAGGCCGCCGCTCCTCCGTGCCCGTCCTGCCTCCTCGCGCCTGCCAACGCGCCGCAAGCAAAGCAGACGGACGCCCAACCGCAACACGGTAACGAGCGCTAGCAACCGTGCACGCTCTCACACACACTCCACTTTCACCTGCAGATCACACCCTCTCACCATACACCAGCACTCGCACACTCGCATACACAGTCACGGTGACACATCAAGCGGAAAGTTTCACTCTGGTCATCTTTGATGAGGTCATGAGTGTCGTGGGCACGGGAAGAGCGTTTCCGCTTCCACTTGGAATGTTCTGGTGAAGTGCACGACTCCGCCTTAAACTAAAACAACAAGTGTATGACTCAAGTCAAACGTCATTCCCTTGGAATTTTCTAAAGTTGATGTGAGCAGTGGGATGTCGCGCTGATAGCACATGGACAATGTTGTGCTAGCTGCTCGTTTGTTACACCTTCAGAGGTTCTGCCCAGCAAAGTGTTTCAGTTCATGGAACACTCTTAAATTGTCCCTTGGTGTGATTGTGACCGCGAATGGTTGTTCATCTTTGTGTGCCCTGTGATTGGCGGGTAACCAGCTAAGGGTGTATACCCCGCCTACTGCCCGAACACGGCTGGGATCGGCTCCAGCACGCCCACGACCCTTGTGAGGATAAAGCGCTTTATAAAATGGACGGATGGATATTAAAACATTTTAAAAAATTCACAAATATAAGAAATAGATTTATTAAGGAGACCTAATAAAAATTCAAATCAAATATACATCCTTTCATCCATTTTCTAATCCGCTTATCCTCACGAGAGTCACGGGCGTTCTGGAGGCTATCCCAGCTGTCAGGAAAAATATATATTCATGAAGAAAATGAAAAATAAAATGAAGAAATATTGTGGATATGGCATGATAAAGTTTTTGGCATGATTCTTTTTTTTTTCCTCTGGAAAAAAAAAAGAAAAGGTCATATGAAATTAAAGCAATATTTTTTTTCAAGGAAACAAAGGCACATTGCAAGTTACAGTAACAAAGTCCTATTGGAATATTTCAAGAGGGAGAAATGTGCAATATTAGAGACAGAAAGTTTTCTTTTTCCTAGAAAAACGGTGCAGGTTCACAGAGGAAAAAAAAGTTTAATTCTAAATCACTCATTCATCTTGCTAATGTGCCCCGCACACACAGACACACATATGCATCCCTTGCCCCCCTTGCTGAGTCCCCCCACCGTGCTGCATTAAGCTTGAGGATTGACTTGATCTGAAGCAGATGTCTTAACTCTCATTGGCTCATTCCTACTCTGTAATTAGCTGCTGCACTGTATTATTCTCCATTACTGTATGTCGTGAACAAAAAAAACAAAAAAAAAAACACTAATCAAAGTGGAGTTTAATCGTTTACCTTTTTTTTTAGCTCTTCATAATCACTCAACTCACATTCTGCTGTATACATGTACTACGGCAAGACTATAATCACTCGCCATTGAGTCATGATTGATTTCAGAAATGAAAACTCGCGTTTGTTGCTGAACGTGCCGGCGTGCTCCCATCATGCTTTGCGTGCCGCCTAAACGTTATTTGGAAAGTTTGCTAATCCTTTAATCGCTGCCAAGAATTACAGCGAGGCGCGGAGGTCAGGACAGAAAAGAACGACGGCGGCGGCGGCGGCCACCCGTCATGACAATTTACAGTCCGCTTGCTGCCTGGAATCTTAATCGGACGCATGCGCTTTTGTCCGTGCCACCTACGCTGTGTGTGTGCGGTGCGTGCGTGCTTTGCATGCATGTGTATTTAGCATGCTGGGAAAAGCTATGCAGGGGGTGCGTTTGGAATACTACTCCTGGTTTTGACTGAGCTCGCTTTAAGACGCTGAGCTTCCAAAAGTGCCTTTGCATGCCTTCAAAACTTCATCCCACACAAGATGTTTGGTCAGGCGCATGCACACACAATAACAAAAAGGCAAATTCTTGGCAATTTCGCATCTGAAGCATACGTAAGAACTTTAGCGCTTTGCATTACCGGGAACATACTGTGAGCTCAATGACATTTTGGGGGGGATTGTTTCTTATGTATTCATGTGCAGAAGGTGAGTGTGTTTTGGAAATAGAAGAAGACGACGACGATCGCGATGACGTATTCACGGTAGAGATCCAACGCGGTCCTCACGGTCTCGGCTTGGCGCTGGTGGACGGCACGGTACGGCTTCTTTCGGGCCAGCCATCGCTTCACTTTTACCCCAAAACTCCTCACGCTATTTTTCTTGACTTTGTGTATAAGCAGAAGACGGCGCTGAGGATGAGCGGAATTTACGTCAAGTCGCTCGTTCCCGACTCGCCCGCCGCTCTGTGTCGTCACCTGAAGACGGGAGATCGAATCCTCGCTGTCAATGGTGTCAGCCTGGTCGGATTGGACTACAGCGTGTAAGTACAAGTGTGTGCATGGAAACATCTGGAGCGGGAAAGAAGTAGACCTGAAATAAAAGCCTAATTGTATTTTTTTCACAAGTTGACCAGTCCCCCCAACCACTCTATGCTTCAGTGTTGTATACGGGCTCCCTCTAGTGGCTCGTCAAACAGTTGCTGAATTTATTTAAGTTTGTTTACAACTTATAAATGCAAATCCAATACATTAGCATTGAATTTTTACAGCTGATTGTTCTCAAACATTTATTTAGGTAACATTTATATTTTACATAAAATCCTGTTGTTTTTACAATATTATTTATTTTATTTACTTTACCAAATGGTGTTTTTTCTTCCCCAGTGGGCGTGAAGTGATTCGCTCTTCGGGAGACTCTCTGAGACTGCTGGTGGCCAACATGGATGCCAACACAAACGCCAACAAAAGTTCACAGACGACCAAATGCTGAACAGGAAGTCAAGACTGTTTCCTGCTTCCTCTCCGGAAGCTTCTCCGCTCACTCCAAAAACGGTTTTGTTTTTTTTTTGTTGTTGTTCTATTTTCTCAATGTCTATCAACTCATTTGTATTTATAAAAAACGTTGCTATTTTCTCATATTTATACACTTCTTAAACATGTGCACAATAAATGTGTGTGCAGGCGGGTTTGTGTGCAGGGTGTGTCTTACGCCACATTTTTTTGGCTTTGGGTTTTGAAAAGAACTCACCACAATTGTGGACATAGGAAGTCACCCTGATGACTTTCTACACATATCCAAAGAAAACATTTCAACAAAGTGTTTGGTCGCCCCCTGGCGGCTGCGTGCAGTACGGCATCCATCCTCAAAGAGCACTTTTCAAATCTAACATAATATGTAATAGCAATACTGATGCATTTAATTTCTATTGTACTTTACATCCATCCATCCATTTTCTAATCCGCTTATCCTCACAAGTGCCGCGGACATCCTGGAGCCTATCCCAGCTGTCTTCTGGTAGTGGGCGGGGTACACCCTGAACTGGTTGCCAGCTAACTCACTCTAGGGACAATTTAGAGTGTTCTGTTAACCTGCCATGCATGTTTTTTGGAATGTGGGCGGAAACCGAAGTACACCCACGCAGGCACGGAGAGAACATGCAAACTCCACACAGGAAGGACAGAGCCAGAATCGAACACTGTACCTCTGCACCGTGAGGCCGACGTGCTGCCCATTGTACTTAACATTTGTGTTGTTGACAGCAGCGTTAGCACCCTGCGGTCACAATCAAGGAACATGACATTCATGAATAAGATTTTGCTTGTAGAAGCCTGGTGAGTAGTGGTTAGCAAGTATGCCTCACAGTTCAAAGGATCGGGTTGAATTTAGGCTGTGGAACTCCTGTGTCATTTTTGCTACATAAGAATAGAATCCAATTTTTTGTTTTACTTAAATTAACTAACCAGCTATTTAACAAGCCAAATTGGGGGGGGGGGGGGGGGGGTTTGA